TTCTGTGTGGTGGTCCACCCGTTAACGTTCACTGTGTGCTCGAATCCTCGAGCCAGTCATGTGCGTCCTCATATGTGTTTCCGTGGAAATCAACCGGAAGTAAAGGGGTCAGAACAGTCACCTGTGTTGTGTCATGCTTGGGCTGGACATGTTGGTGCCAGGGCTTCCAGGCGCTGTCATGCTTTCTAACACAGTCACGCTTTGCGGCAATAGACCGAACTTCGGGCTGAGGCCTAACACACGGCGGCTGCTGCGGTGAACGGGGGAGTTGATGCGCGGAAGTCCTTCTGGGCTAGATGCGGGGCTGCTGTCAGGTGTCCTGAACATGTACCCACCACCTCCACCAGTGTCGCAATGCAGTAACAGCAGCAGTTGAATACAGGGCAACTAACTTTAATTGCACCAGAACACTGGCAAACTGATCGAATGAGAACCTCGTCTTCCTCTCTCGCTGCGCGTGCTCTTTGTTGTTCTCTTGGTGCTGCATATTCAATGCCGCAATATGCACAACTCAACACACAGATGAAACATACACGGAAACATACAAGTGGAGCAACAATAGAAACACGAGTAAACACCAAGCACTGATTCGCATCCGCACATGGTTCCCTTTAGTTGGAGATGGTGTAATTTTTACACCTGATTAATGTACAGCACTCACTGATTGGTGAGTAAAGAAGTAAAGAGCCTCAAGGCTGGGTGAGCCTAATATTTAACAGATTGGTTGATTTATTGGCATTTCACTATTGGTGTATTCCACATTGTCATCCTTATATCCCTATTAACACAGGCATGTGATGAAGGGGGCAGGGGGGGGTGCCTCTTTAGTCATTCAAAGAGGGGAACCAATTTTAACCCATATGTATACTCAATGAGACCTTTTAGGTCACATTTTAATGAGCAGGGTTAGGGCTACACATGTAATTTGAAGATAATGCTGACAAAGAAACCCTGACATTGCATTTGTGGAACTGTTTACTTCTCAACTTCATCCCAGAAAGCCAGGGAGCAGTTGCAGGTCTTTGTGAGAAACACGTCGTCACTTCCGTTTCATTTTGGCATATATTGTGGAGCTCGTTTTTATTCAGACTTGACCAACTGGGTCCCGGGAGAGGGAGGAGGGCTTCGTTCAACTGCCCCTCCCCCCTCCCCCCTATGGAGAACCCAGCATTAGTATGGCTGTCGGTGAAATATTGAAACACTGAGTTGTACACACTGATGACACTAGTATGTTGCACTATTTTTCCTAGATAGTCAAAATCTTTTTGTCATAGAACTCGTCTACTGAAGAATAACTTCAGTTAGAATGCCTAATTTACCCACATTTTTAAGTTCACCCCATGCCCTTCTATTTCTTGTGACAAATAGTTAGGTTTGAAAGTCTAATTACAAATTTCAATTCCCCTGCTAGATGTCTTGATGAACTTCTGGGGAACATTATAACTCATGAGGTGTGGTGCATGTAGTTTTTCACCATTGGCATAGCTGAAAGGAAAATGGGATTTGGTGGAGGGGGCTAGGAGATTTTTTTTTTGTAGCTTATACATTTAATAGTTGAACTTGTGCTTTAAAGGGACCCTGCAACACTTTTTGAAGTAACCATAGAATGGATTCACTAAAGGAGCTCATTTCCTCATGAATTGACCGCCGCTAAAATTTTTAGAATTCGTCGAGTACAAGCGGAGTTACAAAGGCTTGTTGGATGCTGAAATTTCTTTCTCTAGTTCCGACGAAAGCACTGTAAACTAAGCAGGAAAAGCGGGCAGGGGAAAGAAGGTATGTCACCTGTGCCTCGTGACCTTGAGCATTTTTTCTCTTTTTTTTCCCTTGGAAGCCGCAGCTTTTTAGTGCAATCACACGCACATGCACGGACATGTCATCCTCTCGCAGCGGCTCCCGAAACTCGAGCATCCCATGCACAAATCAGCCAATATCATGATACTTGGGCCTATGCTGCAATAATTTACTAGTGTATAGCATCATTTGTTGAGGCAATTGAAAGCAAACAGTAGCTGACTGAGAATTTATTGTTAATTCCAGGCTGGGGGGGGGGGGGAGCGTGCTTTGCTATAATTGGCTCGGGTGTTCCTGGAGCCTCGTCTACTGATTAGCAGTGTTTTCTGAGTTTTCTGACCATGCTCAAAAAATGTTGCAGAGCACTTTTAAAGAAAAGTCGTAGTGCTGTTGTGCATGTCTAGACGAGAATACAGTCTTATTTTTCGGCATTTGTACATGAAAGCTTCAGAGTTTTGTTTTGTTTGCTGCCATTGAGTCGCACTTGACTTCTAGTGACAACATGAGTAAATGAACATCTGTGAAAATATAGAACAGAAGCTTTTTAAGCTGGCCAAAACAATATATTAATGCCAGAGTTCTTATAAGTAGAGACCGTATTATAGGCAAATGCCTATTTTGTTTTTTGCGTTCCTACCGTGCCATTTTGACATATGAGCACGAATTAGGGGGTAAGGAGAGCTTTTATAGTGTTTTTATGGTGCCTCTAAATGCCTATTTTGGATGTTGGTGCCCAAATTCTTATAAGTGCCTATAAATGCCTCTTTTCGAAATCGATGCCTATGTAAACGCTATTTAACCTCAAAATTTGCTTTCAAGTACCTCTGGAGTCCGGTATTCATGTTACTCGGCAAAATTGAACTTTGGGAACACTGTGGGGTGCAATGGGGTGCAACCTATAGTACATCTCACAAGTTACTTTCAGCACTGTCAGCCTACAAGGCTTTTTACCCAATAGGAACGACGATTAACCTCTACACGTTTTCATCTGCGTCGCATCATCTTCTTACATCTCTCTGGCGTCTACTCGCTTGCGTAGGAAGCAGGAGGCACTTCTGTGCAGTGGCAGGACGATTAAGAATGAATGCGAAACCATGGAGTGTCATCAAGGGAAAGTAAAGTGTAGATAAAAACAACGACATGAACTTTTTTTTATTTGCCATTTACTTCTTATATGGCACTTCATTATGTCACGTGAGAAATTCTACTTAGTGGAAGTTCTTGCGTGCCCATTGAAAAGCTGTGTATAACTAGAATTTTTAATAGGTTCATTACAAGCTGCGAAAGTATGATTCCTTGTATCATTCCCTGTGCAAGTATGATTCCAATGCCTTGCCTGCCCTATTTGGTATTGGAGCCACTCAGAGCTGGAGGATCACACGACGAGGGTGCACCATTCTCAGTATCGTACCGCCTTTTTCTGTAGGATGCATCCCTCTATGTGTACACGTTTGGAGAGGCTGACATGCGTCACGTATCCTTACCACGATGCACAGCATCGCACTGTTGGAACTCCTCTAAGAGACGATGCACCAAAAACACGCCTAGCGTTGTCAATGCTGGCACTGGCACAATGCGAGAATGGCGAGAACATCAATGCAAACGAAATGGAGGCAGCTTAGTCTTGCATCTCGCTTGATACGAATTTTTAAAAATAATGCGCATAGATTCTGTCTGTGTGTTTTAATATTTCTGTAAACCTTCATACTTTTATTCAGGCAACAGATTGCACAAATTACACACGTTGTCTCGAATAGTTCTCGTAGTGTAACATACTACTTTGACGTATGCAGGAGCATTCCATCACCTCCATCATATTGGGGCGTATGCCTGTGAAATGAAGGTCAAGCAGTATTCAATCTGACTTTTTCCCCTCTTTACGGTGCGAGTAGCAGTGCAAATCTTGGCAGATGAGAGCGTGAGCGCCCAGTGCTTGCATTCCTCTTTGCTTCTCGAAATTCTCAAACCTGCGTAAGGGCCCTTAAGGTACAGGCAGAAGAAAAGTTGAGCCTGTGCGGTTAGACCAAGTTAATACGAAGCAAAAAGATCCTTCTGGTCTATTTGGACTTGTGTAGATCTTCTCAGCCATGCCGAAAGGAGAGAGACCACGAAGCGTGTTTATTCAATGGTACTTAACTGACTACGCTGGACTAGAAATGGAGAGACTGTATTCTGCAAACCCTGTGGGGAAAAAATGCATGTCTATGCCAAACCATTACGACTTTGCACCATCATAACTAAAGCATTTTTGTTTGCTTTCCTGTCGTAGAGACGCATCCCACACATATTTCTTCGAAAATTTAAGTTTTATCAAAGTTTATTGTGCCTATATTTACTATTTTGGGAGCCTAAAACAGTGTTTTACCTGCCTATTTTTCGCAACCTATGAATCCGGCCTCTACTTATAAGGGCCTCCCACAAACATTTCATCTCTTGAATACTTCCACATGTGCAATCTTTGCATTGTAAATTTTATTTATTTGCTGTTAAAGGATATTGACTGTGCATATATTTGTGTGCACATGGTTTTCAGGTGTTGCTTATCCTCGAGAAGCTTGTCCGCACTAATTTCTTTTTAAGTGTAGTACTAGCATGCTTTACGTAATCATCAATGGTCTTCACCAAAGCTCTGTTTTTTACTTGTGCATCCTTGTTTGTAGTCTTGGTTGTTCATTAGATCAGCTAGGTGTGACATTTGTGATGTATCAAATTTGGGCATATATGGCACCAATTTAATCAAAAGCTGTTCTAGGATCATTGCCTGAAGGCGACAATTCTAAAACAGCTTTGTAACTCCTATTGTCTGTGCAAGCAACAGCATAAGCTGAAGCACTTAAAACAAATGGAAATAAGCATTTTCAAGTGAGCCTGTAGCTCTTCAGTGACTCCACCAAATGTTGCAAAGTGCCAGATTTTGACTGGAAAAGGTGCTGCATTCAAGTAACACTCCTTGGTTATTCCTGCAACAAGATGTCGCTGGAGAAATGCAGTCTCAATCGCATGCGTTCGAGTAGACACCGAGAGCATCTGCATGCAAAATTTTCACTGAAATCACCATAGTATGGTATTAAAGTGCACTAATGATGTCAGCCAAGAAGTGGTACTGTCATGTGCATTCTTGAGGTTGAATGACAAGTGAAAGCGCATTCTCAAATATGGTAATGAGCATAATGCCACTTTACCAAAATCTGCTTATCTCTCTTCAGGTGTTCCAATGGTACCCGTCAGCTGGACAGCCATGCAGTGCCCAGTGTCTTGTGTCAAAGAAATGAGAAAAGTAGCCAAGTTGGCTCCAGCCACATAGGCTAAAGGGAGCTCGTTTTTGTATGAAGAGATTAATAAATCTTCTAGGCAATACCAATGTACAAGTTTATTTACTTCTGCTTGCACTTCAACACACATGTCGATTTACCTCTGTAGGCATGTTCATGCCATGTTTCTACGTTATGTAGAAACATTTTAAGCCAGACTTCGCTGGAGTCAGCAATTATATATAAAAGTGTCTGCAACCATATGTGAAACACAATCTTAGCAGCTCTTCACAAAAAGCCATACAAAAAAAGAAAAAAATGTCTGAATAAGTGTTGACTTATTTGCTGAACTGTTGTGCAACAATAGACCATGAAGAAAAGCATGTTTGTGATTTTGTAGTGCTAGTTGAAGCACGAGTCTATCTGCTGTGGTTTCATTGTCATATTCATAAATTTTCCAAGCTTGTGAATTACATTAACAGCTTCCATTTCGTTTTGACCCTGCTATAAATTTGCTGCAACTAAACTAGTAACTATGACTGCATCACATCATTGAGCATGCATAACGTATGTTGAATCTGCAAGTGCAATGCTGTCGGGCAGAGCTGCAGGCAAATGCTGGGGGTTTTGTCGAATGTGCACATTCTAAAACGCATGGAAGTGGTGTTGGCCGGAACATCTCCGTCAGCGGCCTGTACAACCGTACGGTGGGCTCAAGCCATTGTGGGGGACTCTGACAGTGACGGCAGCGAGCGTCTACAAAACCAGCTCAGGGCTAACTTGAAGTGCTCGCCACGGACTGCCACTCTGCTGCACTGGATGACCCGACGACTATGTCGTTGCAGATCTTGATGGCTGGAGGCATCCGAGCATAGCGCTTGAACCGTGTGAATGTGACCTTCGCTTGCAAACACCGTGCATGAACTTGTGAAGACCCGATGTAACAGGTAGAGATGATTTTCGGAACGTGCCGAGTGCGCATCATGAATAAATGTACTGCATTTTCCCACTCTGTTGAGTCTCCTCTCAGCTGCGACAAGCGAGAGCCGGCTTTCTGGGTTCGCACCAGAGAAAGGGGCACAAAGACTTCACTAATGCATCTTTGTGTTCATACCTTGCTGAACGAAGATGTACATTGACTGCTCTATGGATTACCTTGTGCTAAGTAACATAATTGGTTTGCTTGGTATTCTTGCTACGAATTCGACTCTAAAGGGTCCCTAAAACACTTTTTACACTTTTTTAAATGGCTACTTTACTAAATGGCTACGTTGGAGGTACACATATAAACCTTCAGATGCGCACAAGCTGGGTTTATCCAAAACGTGTAAAGATTACATTCATCTGCTCCGACGTTAGACCAGCGCTTAAGTGTTCTCCAGAGCATGCTACTAATTGTCGTCCTATAGGTGAGCTGTTGTATACTACTTCTCACTATGCCTGCCAGCTCTTTGAGGATGAGCGCGACAATGAATTGCTTCGTTTCGAACTGTCCCGTAGTTAGAGTGCACGTGCTGGACAAGTCACTCTTCCAGCACATCTTAGGCGAAGGTGTAGACAACCTGAAGAAGAGATATATAGGTCAGGTATCACTGTCTCTCTCTACACTGAGGCGAGATCGACCAGCTGAGGGAAGGCTTCCTGGAGCCAGTCATGCCGCACTGCAAGCGCGTCTCCGCCGTGCATGGTGGGGGTTCAGCGGTTCCATCGGAAGTAAGTATTCGGCATCCTGCACGACCTGGCGCTTCCGCACCAACGCAGCTCGTGCAGCGGCGGGCATGGAGCGCCGCCTTTGGGCGGATAGCGCAGGATCCGCCGATGGCGCCGAGACTGGCCCAGGCCGCACGTCTGGCTACAAGCCGACCACGCCGACCATCCTGACACTTGGCACGAGCCTGCGCACAGCAGCGCATATGTGGTACACACAGTATGCAGTGTGTGCACTTGCGAGCCCTTCTGAATTGAGCAGCCTTTAAGTTTCGTACATGCGCATCCTTACCTTTTTGTCGGTTGTAACCACTTGGTGCAGAAACGAATGAGACCGGGTGCAAGGAGAGACAACAGAGTGAAGGAAGGAAAGGAGAGGCAGGTACAGTGGGTACATTTGAAGGAGCAGGGAAGACGGCATTAAGGAGAATAAAAGACGACATAGCGAAGTGAGCCCACGTTCCAGTTTCCGCACTTTATTTCTGAAAATGAGCAACTTTAGTGAAAGTGAACCTTGGTCTGCCGCTGCTGCTAAGTGAGTGGCCAGATCAAAGGCTTAGCGCCATCGAGACGACCCTGCAATTAATTCACTTTTTGTTGGCACAGGTGTGAATAAATTGTTCCCAACATCAAAAGTTTTAGGCCACCATTATAGTCAAGAACTTGCATGGCCATAGAACAGACTTTTGGGCAAGTTGGTTTGATACATTTAATGAAGCCACAGCACTGAAAACACATGGACCAAGGAAGAAAACAGGAGCTAATATCGCGCCTTCTGTCCCCTTCCTCGGTTCCTGTGTTTCTTCACCCCCTTCTAGCCTAGCTCAAGGTACTAGACTAGAAAGGGGCGAAGCTGTTGAATATATAACAACAAGGGCAAAATTTTATTCAGAAAAGCAAATAGAAGTAGCTACTAAACAAGTTGAAAAAGTAATCACTGAGGATAATAAAACTGTGTGGACATACACAAATCTAATTAGACTGAGCTAGAGCTTACTAAGGCACGTGACAAGTCACCCCGGAAAAGAGGACACAAGCCGAAGAGTTGGTGGGATGAGTAAGTTAAGAGAGCCATAGCAAAACGTCAGGAAGCCTCTAGGGAACACAGACATGCTAAGCAGCGGGGTGAACCGACAGATGATGTTGAAAGAAAATTGACCATCTTTCTAAGCTGTAGAAGGGAAGCATCCCTTCTCATCAATGAAAACATTAGAAGAAAGGGGGCTCAGTGGCTGGCAGAAGTACATAAAAAGGATAGAAAGGCAGCTGCGAAATTTTGGAACCATCTATACTCCCTAAGAAATGAGACAAGCTTAGAACAGAGGTTTATAACTACAGCTCAAGGTGCTAGGCTAGAAGGGGGCGAAGCTATTGAATATATCAGAACAGGGGTGACACAAAAATTTCAACAAAGAAGTGCCTTATGCACCACTATAGACAAGGATGGATCAAGTGGTGCAATGGCTCCATTTTCACAATGAGTGGGAAAGGGCTGAGAAGTGGGTCCCTAGTAGTACATCAACAGGCCCAGATGGCATTCCAATTATGCTGATAAAGACATTGGGTCCGAAGTCTAAACAGACTGAGAGAGGCAGTGAGCAAAACAATAATCGATGGTGAAGTCCCCGATGGATGGAAACCTAGCAGGATGAGAATAATCTATAAAGGAAAGGGGACAAAGCTGACATAAACAACTACCGTCCTATAAAAGTGGCATCTGTGGTCTATGGGCTGGCAATGCAGATTATAAAGGAAAGACTGCAGGCATGGATAGAGGATAAGGGGGTGCTGGGAGAACTGCAGAATGGGTTTCGGAAACACAGGATGTTGGAAGACAATCTGTTCTCACTGACGCAGAGCATCGAAATAGCAGAGAAAGAGCACAGGCCCCTGTGGCTAGCATTTTTGGATATCAAGGGAGCGTACGATAGCGTGGTTCAAGAGGACTTGTGGGGAATACTGGACACACTAGGTGTGGAAGATGGAGTCTCTTATCTTTTAAAGGATATCTATAAAAGTAACAAGGTAGTTATAAAGTGGTAAAAACAGGTATCCAAGCCTATATATGTATATACAGAGGGAAAACGGGGGCTCAGGCAGGGGTGTCCTCTGTCACCCTTGTTATTCATGATGAACCTACAAGGAAGGATTAGAGGCCAAATTAGAGGGAAGTGGACTTGGCTTCAACCTTTCTTTTGTCAAACAATGAAAACTCATTGAACAGGCACTACCAGCATTGATGTACGAAGATGATATAGTGCTAATGGCCGACAATAAGGAAGATTTGCAAAGATCGATGGACATCTGCAGTAATGAGGGAGATAGGTTAAATTTCAGATTCAGTAAGGAAAAATCAGCACTCATGATTTTTAATGATAATGAAGGTAGTAAGCTTAGGATACAGGAGGTCATGCTATAGATAACAGATAAATACAAATATTTGGACGTATGGATTGCAATGGGACCGAGTACCTAAGTGAACACGAACTATACGTGGCGACTAAAGGTAACAGGAATGCAGCAGTGATGAAAAATAGGGCACTGTGGAATTACAATAGGTATGATGTTGTGAGAGGAATATGGAAAGGGGTCATGGTTCCGGGTCTGACGTTCGGCAATGTGGTCTTGTGCAGGAGATCAGAAGTTCAAGCAAGATTAGAAATTAAGCAACGTGGAATAGGTAGGATTGCTTTAGGAGCTCACGGGAATACACCAAATCAGGGCCCGAGTACAAGGTGATATCGGATGGACATTATTTGGGGGCAGGAAAGCTAGCAGCAAGATAAAATTTGAGAAGCAATTGAGAGAAAAGGGGGAGGAGCGTTGGGCTAGAAAGGTATTTAGCTACTTGTACATGAAGAATATCGATACAAAATGGAGGAAGCGAACCAGAAAATTGACTGGTAAATACTTAGAAAACAGCAGGGGGCCAAACCAAAAAGAATTATCGGTTAAGAAGAACGTGAAGGAAGCTGATACCGATATGTGCAGAATTGGCATGATTAAGAAGTCCGCACTAGAGATCTATCGAACTTTTAAGCCGGAAATTGCCAAGGAAAGAATCTCTGATGACACTCGCGGTAGTTCTCTGCTGTTTGAGACCAGAACGGGAGTATTACGAACCAAGACATATCGGGCCAAATACGAGGGGGTAGACACGGTATGCAGTGCATGCGGAGAGGAGAAGAAAACTGCAGAACACTTGATAATGCTCTGCAAAGGGCTTCACCTTATAGTTCAGAATGATTGCGCAGATTTTTTTTTTTTCAAAGCACTGGGGTTTAGGGACAGGGAGGGCAAAATAGACTTTAAGCGGGTAGAATTAACTAGAAGGAGGTTATCTGATTGGTGGCTAAAGTCAAGGTACGAGTGAAAATTAAACCCTTCACTGCAAAGTACGAATTCTCACTATTTAAGGGGAAAAATATAAATCTAATTTTTGGTTCATTAAGTATTGCGGCTTGGTGGCGCTAGCCACTGTCCGATCTAGAGGGTACAGCCATAATTATTCATCCATCCATCCATGAGGGGACACTGCTCAGCGATTTATGATGCAAGTGTTACAACGCAACGAATACAAAAACAGCGAAATGAATATAGGACTACGTGCGCTTTTTTCTTTGTTTCCATTTTTTCACGGACTTGTGAGACGCAATGAGGTGCGGGTTGGGGGTGGGGTGGAGCGCAGTGCTTGAGTCACGGAGTTCGCGGCAGTGCGGATTTCTCCTTGATAGGTGCTTTCACGGTTCAGCACCCCTACAATGCAGTAAAACTACCTTTACAAGCAATACATTCGGATTAATAGGCATTTATTCGTTCCTTGCGAATACTTCGAAATTTTCAATAATTTAAATTCGAAGCGAACCATTCGAAGCGAACCAGTGAACCCCATCCACAGCGCCCACTAATATTGCTCAAGTTTCACCGTTCATACTTGCGCGATTGTCAATAAAAAACATTTATTGCACATATTTGAGGCACCATATAACAACACATCAATGTTTTGTATGCGTGTAAGAACAGGTGGATCCTGCCCTCTGGCTACCTCCATATTTGGCGCTTACACACACATACACACACACACACGCATATATAATATATATATATATATATATATATATATATATATATATATATATATATATATATATATAATAATGAGATATACAGACAGTAATGCCAAGGAATGTACAGGGGAAGTTATTAACATTAATGGAATGTAAATAAGAAGAAAGAAAAGTGGATGAAAAAATTCGAAGGTCGTAGGTTCGATTCCTGCTTACAGTTGGTAATTTTTTCATCCACTTTTCTTTCTTCTTATTTACATTACATTCCATTAATGTTAATAACTTCCCCTGTACATTCCTTGGCATTACTGTCTGTTATATCTCATTTTATTGTGTAAAAACACGGAAAACGAGCCCTTAGGTATACACTTCTTTCCCTTATATATATATATATATATATATATATAACTATAGATATATATATATATAGATATATATATATATATATATATATATATATATATATATATATATATATATATATACACTGAAGAAGTTTTCCCGGTCTTCGTCAGGGTTTGCGAACAAGTGCTACGCTATGCGAACATGCCGCATCGAGAAAAAAAAAAAAACGGGAGAAAGCGACAAATTAGTGGTGTTTCACAGTGGTGACATATGCTGTGCCAAACAGTTATCTTCGTCTCACTCGCTGAAGCAAACCAAAAATAACCATGAAAGAAAAAGAAAAAAAGAAAGAAACAGGGGGTAGGAGGAGGAAGGAAGAGGGGGATAGGGCGGCTTCCGCGACGCGTCTTTGAAGGTCACGGAGGGACATTGTGGGGGAGCTTGGATGGCAAGCGTAGCAATATGAGGGACTCACCTGTAGCAATATGAGGAACTCCGGCAGAGAGATTGCCCGATTTGGCTTCTTCTGTGGTCAGTTAGAAAAAGGAAAGGAGAAACAGGTGTTTCGTTTTCACTGAAACTATACGGACACATTCCATATGTGGGGAGAGGGTGGGGCAGATTTCGGGGCAAAGATGGTGAAAGCACCAAAGGCGGTTTGGAAAGTAAAGCCGACATCTAGGGCGGGAAGGCACACGTTGTCAATATGTCTGCCTGCGTGTCTCCATCCCTTTGTACCAATCCTCGAAGCGGCTGTGGTTGAAATCGGCTGGTGC